TGCCACGAGCCGCCCGGGACCCGAGCCGCCCTGCCGCCGAGCCGCCCGGGAGCCGAGCCGCCCTGCACCCGAGCTTGCCCAGCCGCCGAGCCGTCCGGGTAGCCGAGCCGCCCTGCGCCCCAGCCGGCCCAGCCACCGAGCCGCCCGGGAGCCGCAGCCGCTGTGCATCCGAGCCGCCCGGTTCGCTGAGCCGCCCTTCTGCATAGCTGCTTCGACCTGCCCTGCCTGGTGAGCACAGTCCCACTGACACTGCGAGCTCTTTCCCTACTGCTTGCACTGCGTCGCTGTCGTCGCCATGGCTACCCCTAGTGTCCTAGCTTTCGACGCTGAGGGTCGCGCCATTGATTTTGAGGTCTGGTTAGACGACCTGCAGCTGTTCTTACAGTGCGACAGGGCTGACGACCTTTCTCCTCTTTGACCTCACCTCTGGCGCCTCTCCTGCTCCTGCTGCTGATGCTGATCCCTCTGTCCGCTCTCAGTGGGCCACCCGCGATGCTGCTGCACGTCTTGCTGTGCGTCGCCACCTCCCTACCTCTGAGCGTGCGCACTTTAGCCAGTACAAGAGTGCTCAGACCTTGTACGACGCTGTAGTTGCGCGCTACTACTCCTCCCCTGCCACTGCTGCACTGAGTCGTCTCATGCTTCCCTACCTCTTTCATGACCTCTCTGCCTTTCCCACTGTCGCTGACCTCATTACGCACCTCCGCACTAGTGACACTCGCTACCCCCCGCGCCGCCCTTCCTGCTGAGTTCTGCGCTAAGAACCCCCCCCCCATATACATCGCTCTCTACTACGTAGTCGCGCGCCTCCCTGACTCCCTTCGCATCGTCAGGGACCACTTTCTCGCTGTCTGTCCCACCACCCTCACCGTCGACCTCCTCGAGAAGGCCCTCCTCGCAGCGGAGAAGAGCATAGTCGCTGTAGGTGCTTCTCGTGGTGACCCTCGCACCCCCATCTTTGAGGGGTGCTCTCCTTCCCCCTTGCTGCCCTCTGTTGCCTCTGCTGCTGCTGCCGACCTGCTTGGTCTTGAGTCGGTCGGCGCGGCGTCTGCCCCTAGTGGGAGACGTCGCTCCAGCAAGGGCAAGGGTGGCAAGGGCGCGGGTGGAGCTGGAGGGGGGCGGTGGCGGTGGGCGGCGGTGGCGGCGGAGGGAGTGGGGGTGGCGGCGGGACTAGTGGCGGGGGTGGTGGTGGTGGTGGCAGCAGCGGCGGAGACGGTGGTGGTGGTGCCAGCGGTGGTGGTGGTGGCAGCGGCGGAGGTGGGGGCGGCGGAGGTGGAGGCGGTGGAGGCGGCAGCGCAGGAGGCGGTGGTGGTGGAGGAGGTGGAGCTGGTCGAGGTGGTACCCAGCAGCGTAGCGGCGGTGGTGGTGGCCAGCGCTCGCAGCGGCAGCAGCAGCAGCGCTCGCGGGACTTCCCTCCGCCTCAGCAGCTTCGTGAGTGGTACGCTGGGCGTCAGAGGGGTGGGGGTACTGGTCCCTGCACCTACGTTCTTCGTTCCGGCGACCGCGCGGGTGAGCAGTGTGGGGGTGCCCACCCCACCCAGCGCTGCTTTGGCCGCCTGACGGACGCTTGGCGTCGGCAGTTCCCTGGGGCTAGTGAGATCCCTCGCTGGGATGAGCTTCTTAGGGCTGGTGTAGCGATCTTTGATCTTGATTTTGATGCTATCCTTGCTGCTATGTATGCTGTGGATTATAGTGAGGAGAATGAGGGTTACCGGTGTTTCCAGCCCGACCCGGGCATTGGTGCTGCTGCGCTAGGTGCTTGTGAGGCTGCTGCTCTAGGTGCCAGTGCGTCTGTGCTCTCAGGTACTGGTGAGACTGCGCTCTCAGGTACTGCGTCGTCCTCGTCCTCCCTCACTTTCACACTTGACTCCGGAGCTTCTCGCTCCTTCTTTCGAGACCGCACTACCCTTACGCCGCTCGGCCCGGCCGGTTGCGGTCTCCCTTGCTGACCCCTCTGGGGGTCCTGTCCTGTCTCACTTCTCCACTGTCCTCCCGTGTCCGGCTGCCCCTTCGGGCACCCTGTCTGGTCTGTACCTTCCCTCGTTCTCTACGAACTTGGTGAGTGGTGCAGCCCTCCAGGATGCGGGGGTTCACCAGTTCACTCCTGCGAGTCAGCGGGAGACCCACTGCACGGACGCACGCACAGGCCGACACCTAGCCACCTTCTCGCGTCGGCCGGGGTCGAGTCTCTACACCCTGACCACTTCGTCTCCTCCTGTCCCTGCGTCCGGTCAGGTAGCTGCGTCAGGTCAGGTGCTTGCTGCTGCGTCCTGGTCAGGTCCTGAGTCTGCCCCCTGTTCTTGTCGCCTCCTGTCTCACGAGACTCTCCTGTGGCACCACCGTCTTGGCCACCCCTCCTTGCCCCGTCTTCGGAGCATGGCTTCCCGTGTCCTTGTCTCTGGTCTTCCCCAGTCTCTCCCTCCTCTCCCCTCCGGGCCAGGACCTTCTTGTGTCCCCTGTGTCGAGGGTCGCCTCCGGGCTACTCCTCACTTCTCCCACTTCCCCCCGACAGAGGCTCCCCTGCAGACGCTTCACATGGATGTGTGGGGCCCAGCCCCCGTCCGTGGGCAGGGTTACGAGCGCTACTTCCTGTTGGTGGTTGACGACTACTCGCGTTACACCACAGTCCTCCCCTTGCGCAGCAAGGGTGCGGTCACTGAGGTGCTGATCGACTGGATCCGCGAGGCTCGTCTCCAGCTCAGGAAGAGCTTCGGCTCGGACTTTCCTGTTCTGCGTCTGCACTCGGACAGAGGCGGAGAGTTCTCTTCTCGCCTTCTGCGGGACTACTGTCGTGCACGGGGGATCCGCCAGACCTTCACGCTTCCGGACTCACCACAGCAAAATGGGATTGCTGAGCGCCGCATTGGCATGGTCATGGATGTCGCTCGTACGTCCATGATGCATGCGGCTGCCCCCCATTTTCTGTGGCCGTTTGCGGTGAGGTACGCGGCGCATCAGCTCAACCTTCACCCCCGGGTCTCTCGGCCTGCGATGTCCCCAGCCTTGCTGTGGACGGGGAAGGTTGGCGATGCGTCTGTGTTCCGTGTCTGGGGATCTCGGGCGTTTGTCCGCGACTTGTCTGCGGACAAGCTGTCCCCTCGTGCTGCTCCCTGTGTCTTCCTTGGCTTCCCCACTGACGCCCCAGGGTGGCAGTTTTACCACCCCTCCTCTCGTCGTGTTCTGTCCTCCCAGGACGTCACGTTCGACGAGTCAGTCCCCTTCTACTGTCTCTTCCCCTACCGCACTCCTTCCCTCCCCCCTCCCCCGGACTTCCTTGTGCCGGTTCCCCCCCCGGTAGACCCCCTCCCCCCTCAGGTTCCTGCCCCTTCAGGTGTGTCCCAGGTAGACGCCGTTGACCCGGTCGAGGTTACTGGTGACTCTGGTGCTGCTGCGGGTGCTGAGCCTGGGGGTGCTGACTCTGGGGGTGCTGTGCGCGGGGGTGCTGAGCCTGGGGGTGCTACTGCTGGGGGTGCTGGGACTGAGGGTGCTACTGCGGAGGGTGCGGAGCCTGGGGGTGCTGAGCCGGGGGGTGCTGTGCCTGGAGGTGCTGAGTCTAGGGGTGCTGGGTCGGGAGCTACTGAGCCTGGGGGTGCTGTGCTGGGAGCTGCTGAGCCTGGGGGTGCTGCGTCTGGAGCTGCTGAGCCTGGGGGTGCTGCGTCTGGAGCTGCTGAGCCTGGGGTTTCTCCTGCTGCTGCGTCTCGCCGGGAGCCCCTCTCTCCACAGGAGCTGCGCGAGTGGTTCGCTCGCCGCTGGAGACGTGCTGCTGAGTCTGGAGTTGCGGCTGGAGCTGGAGCTGGAGCTTCTTCGACCGTCGAGGGTGCGGGTGCTGCCGGTCCCGGAGCTGCTGGACCTGCGGGTCCTCCTGGAGCTGGAGCTGCTGAGGGCGTTGGTGCTGAGCCTACTGCTGTTGGTCCTGCCGCTGGAGGTGTGGGTGGCACTGGTGCTGTCGCTGAGGGTGCTGGTGCTGTCCCTGCTGCGTCTCGAGCTGCCGCGCGGCCTCGGCCGTACTTCGTTCCGCTCCTGCAGCAGGTTCTTGGTCTTTCTCCTCCAGTAGAGGGTCCACCGCCTGTCCAGTCGCAGTCCCTGCTGGAGCCTTCCTCTCCACTGCCTGCTCCCTCTCCTTACACTGGTCCTACTGGAGGTCTTGCTGAGCGTCGTGAGCCTGCGTCTCGTCCCGCGTCGCCTGTTCGTGCTGCTCGCACTAGTGGTCGCAGTTCGCGTCAGCGTCCTCCTCCTGTCCCTGGCACGCACCGGATGTCTTTGCGTCCGTCCACTGCTCCTCTGCGTGCCCCTTTGCCTTCTCCTCCTGAGTCTTCTCTTCCTGCGCTTGCCGACCCTGAGTCGGACTCTCTTCGTGCTGCCAGTCCTACTGTCACGCGTCTGCTTGCTACTGTCGTCACCGACCCCTCTTTTGAGTCCACTGCTGCGTCTGCTCTTGTCGCTGAGCTCGTCGACTTTGCTGCTCGCTGTCGTCTAGACTACGCTGCTAGTCTTGTTGCTGAGTCTGCGTCTGTCTGTCCTCCGTCCGTCGGGGGTGAGTATGCTCTTGGCACGGACGTCCTAGAGGACAGGCAGGAGGAGTTACAGTGTCTAGCGGCTGCTTCACCTCATCTCGCGTCTGTACTGCTTGCCCCTGAGGGAGACCCGGATGCACTAGACATCCCGACTCCGCGTTCTTACGCGGAGGCCGTAGAGGGTCCCTACTCCTCTCAGTGGCAGGCAGCTATGGATGCAGAGATGGCTTCCTGGAAGTCCACAGGCACCTACGTTGACGCGGTTCCCCCTCCTGGGGCGAACATCGTCAGTGGCATGTGGATCTTCAGGGTGAAGCGGCCGCCGGGCTCTCCACCTGTCTTCAAGGCACGGTATGTTGCTCGTGGCTTCAGTCAGCGGCAGGGAGTTGACTACTTTCAGACCTTCTCTCCCACCCCGAAGATGACTACTCTTCGGGTGCTGCTGCACATAGCCGCTCAGCGCGACTACGAGCTTCACTCTCTCGACTTCAGCACTGCGTTCTTGCAGGGTAGCCTGCACGAGGAGATCTGGCTTCGCCGTCCACCTGGCTTCACTGGGACTTTCCCTCCTGGCACCCAGTGGAGCCTCCGACGGCCAGTCTACGGTCTCCGCCAGGCACCGCGTGAGTGGCACGACACACTGAGGACTACGCTTGCGGCTCTTGGGTTTGCTCCTTCTACTGCTGACCCGTCGCTGTTTCTTCGCACCGACACTTCCCTGCCGCCGTTCTACATCCTCGTGTGCGTCGACGACTTGGTCTTTGCCACAGCGGACATTGCTGGACTCGCCTACGTGAAGTCCGAGCTGCTGAAGAGACACACGTGCACAGACCTGGGTGAACTGCGCAGCTACCTTGGCTTGCAGATCACTCGGGACAGAGCACGCCGCACCATTACCTTGACTCAGTCACACATGGTGCAGCAGGTCCTTCAGCGCTTCGGCTTCACGTACTCCTCGCCTCAGGCCACTCCCCTGCCTACTCGCCACTCACTCTCAGCTCTGCCTTCGGATGAGTCCGTAGAGTCGAGTGGTCCGTATGCAGAGCTTGTTGGCTGCCTCATGTACCTGATGACTTGCACACGACCTGACCTTGCATACCCTCTGAGCATTCTTGCACGCTATGTTGCTCCTGGGAGACACAGACCGGAGCACATGGCTGCAGCGAAGAGGGTATTGTGCTACCTGTGCAGTACGTCGGGCATGGGGCTAGTGCTTGGAGGGCGGAGTCCAGTGGTCCTTGCCGGCCATGCGGACGCTTCTTGGGCTGACGACCAGGCTACGCAGCGGTCGTCACAGGGTTACACCTTCAGCCTTGGTTCCGGCTCTGTCTCGTGGCGGTCTACTCGCTCGTCTTCGGTTCTCGGCTCCAGTTGTGAGGCTGAGATCTACGCCGGGGCCATGGCTGCACAGGAGCTTCGCTGGCTCACCTACTTGCTGACTGACCTTGGAGAGCCGCCTCGTTCTCCTCCAGTGCTGTACGTAGACAACAAGGCCATGCTGGCCTTGTGTCGAGAGCAGCGCTTGGAGCACAGAACGAAGCACATTGCTCTCCGCTACTTCCTTGCTCGTGAGCTGCAGCAGCGTGGTCAGTTGCGACTTGCGTACGTGGCCTCTGAGGCCAACACTGCTGATGTGTTCACCAAGGCACTTGCGCCTTGTGACCATCAGCGCTTTTGTACCCAGCTGGGTCTTGTGCCTGTCTTGCCTCACTTGCTCTCTTCTTGACTTTACTTGTACTGTGACATATATATACCTGCTCTTGCTTGTCTTGCTTTATATATATGTCTGTACTCTTGCATGTGAACTGGCCTTTGGCCTTGCTCTTGTGCTCGGACTGTGTGGTGACTTTGTGATCCACCCTGAGCTTTGTTTTGCTTTGCTTGACTGGTCTTGTGACCCCTTGTTCTCCCCCACTTTGCCTATGGGGGTGTGTCAGAACACAAATACAGCTTATACTGTTGTGTAGGCTGTAGTGGGGTAACCCGTAGGGGGTACAACCAGTTAGGGTTTGATACTTGTACTGATTTCATTTCATAGTCATTCATTCCTGTTCTCTTACTTTCACACTAGCATGTGCAAAATTGCAAGAACAAGGGCCTAGCGTGTGCAAAAAAAAAAGAACAAGGGCATAGCGTGTGCAAAATAAAAAGAACAAGGGCCTAGCGTGTAAAAAATAAAAAGAACAAAGGCCTAGCGTGTGCAAAATTGCAAGAACAAGGGCCTAGCGTGTGCAAAACAAAAAAGAACTAGGGCATAACGTGTGCGAAATAGCAAGAACAAGGGCCTAGCGTGTGCAAAATAAAAAGAACAAGGGCCTAGCGTGTGCAAAATAAAAAGAACAAGGGCCTAGCGTGTGCAAAATTGCAAGAACAAGGGCCTAGCGTGTGCAAAATTGCAAGAACAAGGGCCTAGCGTGTGCAAAATTGCAAGAACAAGGGCCTAGCGTGTGCAAAAAAAAAAAAGAACTAGGGCATAGCGTGTGCGAAATAGCAAGAACAAGGGCCTAGCGTGTGCAAAATAAAAAGAACAAGGGCCTAGCGTGTGCAAAATAAAAAGAACAAGGGCCTAGCGTGTGCAAAATTGCAAGAACAAGGGCCTAGCGTGTGCAAAATTGCAATAACAAGGGCCTAGCGTGTGCAAAATTGCAAGAACAAGGGCCTAGCGTGTGCAAAAAAAAAAAGAACTAGGGCATAGCGTGTGCGAAATAGCAAGAACAAGGGCCTAGCGTGTGCAAAATAAAAAGAACAAGAGCCTAGCGTGTGCAAAATAAAAAGAACAAGGGCCTAGCGTGTGCAAAATTGCAAGAACAAGGGCCTAGCGTGTGCAAAATTGCAATAACAAGGGCCTAGCGTGTGCAAAATTGCAAGAACAAGGGCCTAGCGTGTGCAAACAAAAAAAGAACTAGGGCATAGCGTGTGCGAAATAGCAAGAACAAGGGCCTAGCGTGTGCAAAATAAAAAGAACAAGGGCCTAGCGTGTGCAAAATAAAAAGAACAAGGGCCTAGCGTGTGCAAAATTGCAAGAACAAGGGCCTAGCGTGTGCAAAATTGCAAGAACAAGGGCCTAGCGAGTGCAAAATAGCAAGAGCAAGGGCCTAGTGTGTGCAAAAAATCAAGAACAAGGGCCTAGCGTTCGCGAAATAGGAAGAACAAGGGCTTAGCGTGTGCAAAATTGCAAAAACAAGGGTCTAGCGTGTGCAAAATTGCAAGAACAAGGGCCTAGCGTGTGCAAAATAGCAAGAGCAAGGGCCTAGCGTGTGCAAAAATTCAAGAACAAGGGCCTAGCGTTCGCGAAATAGCAAGAACAAGGGCCTAGCGTGTGCAAAATAGCAAGAGCAAGGGCTTAGCGTGTGCAAAAAATCAAGAACAAGGGCCTAGCGTTCGCGAAATAGCAAGAACAAGGGCCTAGCGTGTGCAAAATAAAAGGAACAAGGGTCTAGCATGTGCAAAATTGCAAGAACAAGGGCCTAGCGTGTGCAAAATAAAAAGAAAAAGGGCATAGCGTGTGCAAAATAAAAAGAACAAGGGCCTAGCATGTAAAAAATAAAAAGAACAAGGGCCTAGCGTGTGCAAAATTGCAAGAACAAGGGCCTAGCGTGTGCAAAATTGCAAGAACAAGGGCCTAGCGAGAGCAAAATAGCAAGAACAAGGGCCTAGCGTGTGCAAAATAAAAAGAACAAGGGCCTAGCGTGTGCTAAATTGCAAGAACAAGGGCCTAGCGTGTGCAAAATTGCAAGAACAAGGGCCTAGCGAGTGCAAAATAGCAAGAGCAAGAGCCTAGTGTGTGCAAAAAATCAAGAACAATGGCCTGGCATTCGCGAAATAGCAAGAACAAGGGCCTAGCGTGTGCAAAATTGCAAAAACAAGGGTCTAGCGTGTGCAAAATCGCAAGAACAAGGGCCTAGCGTGTAAAAAATAAAAAGAACAAGGGCCTAGCGTGTGCAAAATTGCAAGAACAAGGGCCTAGCGTGTGCAAAATAGCAAGAGCAAGGGCCTAGTGTGTGCAAAAAATCAAGAACAAGGGCCTAGCGTTCGCGAAATAACAAAAACAAGGGCCTAGCGTGTGCAAAATTGCAAAAACAAGGGTCTAGCATGTGCAAAATTGCAAAAACAAGGGCCTAGCGTGTGCAAAATAGCAAGAGCAAGGGCCTAGTGTGTGCAAAAAATCAAGAACAAGGGCCTAGCGTTCGCGAAATAGCAAGAACAAGGGCCTAGCGTGTGCAAAATAAAAAGAACAAGGGTCTAGCATGTGCAAATTTGCAAGAACAAGGGCCTAGCGTGTGCAAAATAAAAAGAACAAGGGCCTAGCGTGTAAAAAATAAAAAGAACAAGGGCCTAGCGTGTGCAAAATAGCAAGAACAAGGGCCTAGCGTGTGCAAAATTGCAAGAACAAGGGTCTAGCGAGTGCAAAATAGCAAGAACAAGGGCCTAGCGTGTGCAAAAAATCAAGAACAAGGGCCTAGCGTTCGCGAAATAGCAAGAGCAAGGGCCTAGCGTGTGCAAAATAAAAAGAACAAGGGTCTAGCATGTGCAAAATTGCAAAAACAAGGGCCCAGCGTGTGCAAAATAAAAAGAACAAGGGCATAGAGTGTGCAAAATAGCAAGAATAAGGGCCTAGCGTATGCAATATAAAAAGAACAAGGGCCTAGCGTGTGCAAAATAAAAAGAACAAGGGCCCAGCTTGTGCAAAATTGCAAGAACAAGGGCCTAGCGTATGCAAAATTGCAAGAACAAGGGCCTAGCGAGTGTAAAATTGCAAGAGCAAGGGCCTAGCATGTGTAAAATTGCAAGAACAAGGGCCTAGCGAGTGCAAAATAGCAAGAGCAAGGGCCTAGCGTGTGCAAAAAAATCAAGAACAAGGGCCTAGCATTCGCGAAATAGCAAGAACAAGGGCCTAGCTTGTGCAAAATAAAAAGAACAAGGGTCTAGCATGTGCAAAATTGCAAGAACAAGGGCCTAGCGTGTGCAAAATAAAAAGAACAAGGGCATAGCATGTGCAAAATAAAAAGAACAAGGGCCTAGCGTGTAAAAAATAAAAAGAACAAGGGTCTAGCGTGTGCAAAATTGCAAGAACAAGGGCCTAGCGTGTGCAAAATAAATAGAACTAGGGCATAGCGTGTGCGAAATAGAAAGAACAAGGGCCTAGCGTGTGCAAAATAAAAAGAACAAGGGCCTAGCGTGTGCAAAATAAAAAGAACAAGGGCCTAGCGTGTGCAAAATTGCAAGAACAAGGGCCTAGCGTGTGCAAAATTGCAAGAACAAGGTCCTAGCGAGTGCAAAATAGCAAGAGCAAGGGCCTAGTGTGTGCAAAAAATCAACAACAAGGGCCTAGCGTTCGCGAAATAGCAAGAACAAGGGCCTAGCGTGTGCAAAATGTAAAGAACAAGGGTACAGCATGTGCAAAATTGCAAGAACAAGGGCCTAGCGTGTGCAAAATAAATAGAACAAGGGCCTAGCGTGTAAAAAATAAAAAGAACAAGGGCCTAGCGTGTGCAAAATTGCAAGAACAGAGGCCTAGCGTGTGCAAAATTGCAAGAACAAGGGCCTAGCGAGTGCAAAATAGCAAGAACAAGGGCCTAGCGTGTGCAAAAAATCAAGAACAAGGGCCTAGTGTGTGCAAAATAAAAAGAACAAGGGCCTAGCGTGTGCTAAATTGCAAGAACAAGGGCCTAGCGTGTGCAAAATTGCAAGAACAAGGGCCTAGCGAGTGCAAAATAGCAAGAGCAAGGGCCTAGCGTGTGCAAAAAATCAAGAACAAGGGCCTAGCATTTGCGAAATAGCAAGAACAAGGGCATAGCGTGCGCAAAATAAAAAGAACAAGGGTCTAGCATGTGCAAAATTGCAAGAACAAGGGCCTAGCGTGTGCAAAATAAAAAGAACAAGGGCCTAGCGTGTAAAAAATAAAAAGAACAAGGGCCTAGCGTGTAAAAAATAAAAAGAACAAGGGCCTAGCGTGTGCAAAATTGCAAGAACAAGGGCCTAGCGAGTGCAAAATAGCAAGAGCAAGGGCCTAGTGTGTGCAAAAAATCAAGAACAAGGGCCTAGCGTTCGCGAAATAACAAAAACAAGTTCCTAGCGTGTGCAAAATTGCAAAAACAAGGGTCTAGCGTGTGCAAAATTGCAAAAACAAGGGCCTAGCGTGTGCAAAATAGCAAGAGCAAGGGCCTAGTGTGTGCAAAAAATCAAGAACAAGGGCCTAGCGTTCGCGAAATAGCAAGAACAAGGGCCTAGCGTGTGCAAAATAAAAAGAACAAGGGTCTAGCATGTGCAAATTTGCAAGAACAAGGGCCTAGCGTGTGCAAAATAAAAAGAACAAGGGCCTAGCGAGTAAAAAATAAAAAGAACAAGGGCCTAGCGTGTGCAAAATTACAAGAACAAGGGCCTAGCGTGTGCAAAATTGCAAGAAAAAGGGCCTAGCGAGTGCAAAATAGCAAGAGCAAGGGCCTAGTGTGTGCAAAAAATCAAGAACAAGGGCCTAGCGTTCGCGAAATAGGAAGAACAAGGGCCTAGCGTGTGCAAAATTGCAAAAACAATGGTCTAGCGTGTGCAAAATTGCAAGAACAAGGGCCTAGCGTGTGCAAAATAGCAAGACCAAGGGCCTAGTGTGTGCAAAAAATAGAGAACAAGGGCCTAGCGTTCGCGAAATAGCAAGAACAAGGGCCTAGCGTGTGCAAAATAAAAAGAACAAGGGTCTAGCATGTGCAAAATTGCAAGAACAAGGGCCTA